CATGGAAGTGGATCCGCTTCTTGTCTTTTATGTTGATTTTGTCATAGAAAAGGTTCATCATAAAGGTCTTGCCCGTACCAGTACCTCCCCACAAGTAGAGCCCTCTCTGCCCCGGCGCGGGCTTTAGTGCCAGTGCTGCCTGCTGTGCAGGTGCGGGCGCTGGCGGCGCTTTGGGCTTGCTTCCAAAGAGGCCTCCAAAGAAACCACCGCCGGCAGAGCTGGTAGAGGTTGGCGTTGCGGGTTTGGCAGCCTTTGTCATTCTGGGCGAGTAGCTGGTGAGGTCCTTGGCAAGATCATCCAACATCTGCATGCACACCTCCTGGCGAGGATCTTCCTGGATCTCACCTGAAGCCTTCTTCTCCAAGTATGCCTCCAGGCATCCTCCAGGCATAGCTGAGCTCCAACGCATCTGCATGGGCGCAGCTGCAAAAGCAGTTTTCTGCAATGTCTGGAATTGGAGGCTGCAACCTGGCTGCCGCGGTCGAGACGGAAATGGCACGTTGAGGACACATCCAATTCTCGGGCTGCGGCGTGAAAGAGCGCCAGTTGCTGCTGTCACCGCACGGAACATGGCGGCACACCAGCTCTGTCAAACCACATACATTTCATACATTTGAGCAAAGCTGACCATAAGGGTGCGCTGTAACGTTGATCGGCTGGTGCAAGCTGAAAAGCGTTCAAAATGCGAGCTGGCCGAGCTGGCTGTGCTCTGAGGTGCAGCCCTGCCTCACGGCGGAAGCGGTCGGTGAGCTCGAAGACGGACTCTTGCATTCGGACGCAGATCCTGGTCTCCAGACTCAACATACGCATGTGAGCTGGGAGCTGCCGCTCAGTTCCACCCACTTCAGATGATCCCAGCAACATGTCTGACAGTTTGAGAACCAACTCGTCTGCATCCAGGATCTGAATGCCATTTTTGTTTTGAGGGAGGTGATGTCTGAGGGTTCCACTCCACCACACCGGTGAAAACATCCTGCGACAGGTCCACCTGCAGATGACAACTGACACGCAAGGCTACTGCCATGACAAGCAGGTCAAGCAGCATGCACATGCACAGAAAAGCCGAAAATTCCGCTGTTTGGTCTGCTTGGTCGTCTTTAGCAACAACCCCAGTTGTTGCACAAATTTCATGGCATTGGCTTGCATGGTCACACTGTATCAAGTACCAGCAGATTGCACTTCACCCATGTCAGATCTCATAGACAGGCATGCACCTCTCCAGGCCTTCTGCAAGAAATGGCTCGCTACTCCACGCAAGGCTTCCTCTGGCCACTCCATGAACCAGTCCTTGCTGATCGGAGTTACGAAAGGTTAGTCAAGCTCTCCAGGCCTTCTTAATTAGCTGCCCCCTAGGAGTGTGTCTGCCTAGGCCATAGGCGAGCCCAGAGATTGCACGCTGCTGGGTGCTGAACGATAGTGCAGCAGTTGACAATGGCTGGGAACATCCTCACCCGACGCCGGAATGCCTGGCACTATGCACTGGCCATGATCTTGGCATCAAGCTGCACGGCTTAAGCAACCTTTCACTTGCCTACAGCACACACACACACACTGCCCACTTTGGACATTGTTGGGAAGCGCGTCTGGGCTTAATGAGCTTCCTAGCGCCTTGCCTCACCAATTGGTGACAAGGCCAGAACGAGGTGCAGGTTCTTGCCTCGTGATGTGACAATGCTCACTGCAAGAGCACAACTGCATGGAAAGTCTCTGACGACACTGCTCCGTGAAGAAGGCGAAAACCTGTCCGTGCAGCACAGCTAAGGTGCTGAGATTGGGCTGGGTCACAGGTGTCGTAATCAACCGCATGACAATAACACATGACATAGTCACAAAGACAGCAGGCTCGAGTATGCACATTCTCACTTCTCTCGGACTGTCACTGCGCCAACCTTTTAGGTATACAGCAAGCTTGAGCCATTAGAAGAGGAATGACGAGACAGCCCTAGTTGTAGTGGGAAGAAAGAAGCACGCAGCGGCGCTCTATCTCAGGATAGAGCCGGCCGGCATTTGTATTCTGAATAATCTTATATCAAGCTGGCCATTTGCTATCTACACTCTCTCATCTTATGCTCACGAAGGATTACGGAGTTGTTCACGGAGCTGTTCAGATGGCCAAGCTTGAAGCATCTTCGTATCCCCTCTGGCATTCAAAAACTACAGGTCTACTGTGGCTTTCTCTGAGAACCACATCCTCTCTTGTTGAAAGTCCACCAAACATGTTCAACTTGCTCCGAGACTTCCCTGAAAAGCTAACAGCTGGCGAGCCCGCACTCCTAAACCCACCCTGTCCCTAGCCCCTGAACAGAACGCATTGTTTCTTGCTGCTCAAGGGGCAAGTTTTTGCATAGCTGGAAAGACTGCAAACTGATTCCAGTAGCAGCGCTTCTGTTTGACTGGCATTGTTGTTTCACGTTCTTGCCTTCCCTCCCACCAGGAAAACTCTTGCGACCAGAGCAATAATATCAGGGTTTGCATTGCTAATCTAAAGCCTGAACCGCAACTAAATACCTCAGCGATACTTGAAAAGCCACAAAAACAGTTTAAAGGGTCAGGACGTAGAGCTTACAGGAAACAACAAACTCAGATGACCACCAGCAGAGCAAGGAGCAGACTCAAGCATAGTGGCCTAATTGTTTTCTCATATTGCATCTTCACGTTGATGACCGTGTTCTTGTTCTTCACTCTTGGTTCCTGGTCCCTTACTCCAAGCATTGCTCTTGTTCTTTGCACGGGGACAATAATCCACTATTTCCATGTTGTGAATATGCGTTGGAAATATTCAGAGAAGAACCTTGTGAGATCTGCAAGTATTGAGAACTTCACGAAGTTGGTTCCTCAGAAGAATTTAGTAAATTAGCATCATTGTGACGGTGACGTTGGAGGACAGAGCAAGTACGAGCACATTCCGAATATTGAGAATGCTGCAGTGAACAAATTTCTGCCTGGCTGAGAACTAGCCTGTAGATACGTCAGATACATGTTGCGCCTTACAGAAACTGAGTACATAATGAATTGTGGTAATCTATGTGGAAATAATGCCTGGATTTTTTCCATTTCAATCTCCACTTTTGGGGTATTCTCCCTCGACCTTATGTAAACCTCGAAGATGCCTACAGAACCCATAAACTTATCCGCGTAGAAGCTTTCCAGCAACCTCTGCAGAACCTCTGAATATCCCTACAGAGCCCTTATAAAACCCAAAACAACCGCTGTAGAGGACACATACTACATATGTATATATATATACATATATTCTGTGTATGCATATATCTTCTTCGTCTCAGGGCGCAAGGGAGCCAGCCGAAGCCCCCGGAGCAACCCTCCATGCCCGGCAAAGTTCGAGTATATCTCCCTAAACCCTAAACCCTGGTTAAGGGTTTAGAGTCTAGGGTTTAGGGCTCTCTCCCCTAAACCCTAAACCCTAAATCCTAACCCTAAACCCTAAACCCTGGCTCTCTCTCGTTCATTGGAGCCTCTGCTGGGTCGCTGCATCCTGCAGCCTGCGCTGCAGAGGTCGACACCTGGCCGAGGAAATCCTATCCCTGCTGGGGGTTCATAGGGAATGAAGGAATGTATGGGGTTTAGGTCTTTTTGAATTCCCACTCTTTTTCCGTGTGGAATACCGGCTTAGGTTTAGGGTTGTAGTGAACAAGGGAATATATTGGGGTCATATAGGGTAGAAATTGGGGGTTTTAATAGGGAATAAGGGAACATACTATGTAGGGAATATATAGGGATCATGTTCCCTTCTTCCGTTCGAACGTAGCTAGGAGCCACCAGTAAGCAATGAAAAAGCAAATGGAAAATCCAAGAGTTGTACAAGGTTTAGGGTTTAGAAAGTCAAATGGCAAATCCTGCGGCTCTACGTATAAGGGCTAGGGTTTAAGGGATTTAGGGCTTATAGAATCAAGTGGGAAAGAAAATGAAAAATGCAATGGAAACTGTATGTTCTATACGTTCTATTGGGCTCTATAAGAACTGTAATGGGAATGTTACCCCAATTATCGAAAATAAAAATCGAAATGGGATTTGGTCGCGCGTGGGCTTGGAGTTTCTGATGGGTTTTCGGTGGTGATATTTGTCAGGGGCGGGCAGCAGGTGGGTTTGAGGGTATGAGGTCCTCAAAAGGCAACTAAGCTGTTGAGAATACCCCGGCTTCTGTCCTGGTCGGGCCTTCCTGGATCGCTATCTACGCTCCTACAATGCTCCACCTTACACTCAGAAGACTGCGAGCACTGTCCTCATAGATGCTGTTGTGCTCAAAGAGAAGCAACTTCGTTCAGGCTACGTGCCATCTAAGGGAACTGCAGCAATTGAACCATGCATCAGGATTCAGACAAGCAAAGCCTAGGAAGAGTGGCATGCGAAATGTGCAGTTTCTCAGAATCGCAAACCTTGGCATGATCAATCCCAACACTGTACAGGCCGTCCAAGAAGAGCAAGTTTTCCATAGACGGCTGCCCACTAGAAAACATCACCAGGTTGAACCAAACCTCACTTGCGAAATTTGGTATTCCTAGGCTTGCCGGGAAAAATGATGTCGGGATTCTAGGCAAAGCATTGGATGTAGATTAATCCACACCTAGATGCCCGTTTTGCGGTTCTGGTAGTTGCAGAGGGAACAATGGCAAAACCAGGACCACGATAAGCCTAATTGCAAAGATACCCGTATGATGTTTGATTTAGATTCTCTGCATGTTCTTTAAGGAGCCAACCTCCTTTGGTGTTTGATCGTACAGGCCAGTACAATCCTCCTTGTGCTGCTCTTAACAACCTGATGGCCACATGAACAGACCCGAGCACTGATGTGGCAGCGTCTGAAGATGGCGTCACCAAGGAATGCAAGACCCCTAGAAAAGATCCTCTTTTGGGAAACTGCAGAAACCCCATAGCGTCACCTCAAGGATCTGTGTCTTGTCCTCGGCATTGAAGAGGTTTGGTACCTTCCAGGCTGCCGAAGATGAGCAAAGAGGCAATTTTGAACTGTGACCTCGCAATATCAAGGGAGTAGATCCAGCCAGGACTTGGGCTTTTGGCCGCATCATCTGGACTCAGCAACCACGGGTTGCAAAACTCAGCTTTTTCGCTACGTGCTGCACATAGCTGGTTTGCAGGAGGAGGTGTGCTTCCTTCCTGCAAGATGCACCGCACAGCCACGATCTGCAAGGACTCCGTCCACGCAAGCTGAAGGCGTTCTTCACAACACCATGTCCAGCGACAAACGGCACCAGCTCGAATCCACTTCACAATCCCCAGGGTCTTTCAGCGAAGGAACTCAGAGCCTCAGCTGTAGGCGCCAAGATGTGAACCGCCATAACTAGGGACTCTGTAGGACTGCTTGCAGCTCCAAGGTTCTGTGGTCTTCACCTCGGGCTTGGCTAAATACGCTCCTTCGCCCTTGCAAGCCCCAGCAATCTTAGACTGCGTATTTCGGGGTAAGATGGTGCAAGCGCTTCGGGTTCATGCTTAAACGTCTGGGGACTCTCAACCTCGCAGCTCCCTTGACATGGCCTAAACCGATGGCAGCAGTCAAAGCCGCGGCTTTGGCCAATTGCAGCTTAGTTGGAAGGCAAGTGCATCGGTATATATTCACCGGCTTCTCGACACAGTTCCGTTCCATTGCACACGTCACTTGGCGGAGGTCTCCTCTCCACCGGATTTCATACGAACCCTGGCCGCCAAAGAAGTTGCCCACCTCATTAGTGCTGATGACTGGATTCTCCGCCTCACGGTCCCCTCCTCCTTGCAGCTCCTCCCAAGTGCACCCTTCCAGTTCCAACAAACTCCGTCCTGTGCGGTACTTAGCTCGTCCGGCATCTGTGTGCCAGAGATGCCACGTACCCAAGTGTCATTTGCACCAAGTGGCTGTTTCTGAAGCAAGTGGTCCCTTCATATTCACCACGATATATTGTGATCTCATGTGAAAGCTCCGACCAAGAGCCTAGACTTGCACATGCGCCAAGAACACCAGCTGAGATCCAGGCGCTGCTGCGGCCGCCGCACTGTCCGCAGTGCCTCCTGGGCCTGGAGAAGCGCCTCATGCTAGAGGGCTTCCATAGCACGATTTGTAGGGTTAGGGGAGAAAGCCTGAACCTGGTGCTTGTACAAGGTTTCAAGTTTGTGAAGGGTTCGGTGTCTTTATAAGGTTCAGACCTCTCCACCTCTAGATGGGTGCGTTTCAAAATAGAACCATAGAACCCTGCAGGGGCAGTTTCAGAATCTCCGTAATTATCTTTATATACCCATATGATATGTCCGCTGGGGACCGCAAGGGCCGCATCATTGAATGAGAAAAACCCCCATCTTTGATTTGCCCGGCCTCCTTCCCATCCAGCACGCCATCCGTGAAGTTCATGCCAGCGGGCAAGCTATCAATACCCAGCTGCTGCCTTGAATCACCGTAGGGGAAGGGCTAGAGTTTAGGAGCATAGGGTTTACGTTGCGGAGGTAAGGTTCTAGCACAGGCAGCATGTGCCTTCGATGTCTCTTCAAGTAGCTGCCATTTTTTTCACTGGTGCTTTTGCCTTGCAAGTTCCAAGCGCACACTACCAATCGGTCAACCTTCCCAAGACTAGGTGGGCACATTGCATGTACTGAAGTTTCATCAACTACAGAGACGCTGGGCTATGACCTTGAAGTTGGACTGCCTCGGATGTTTCCGACCCACTCACTGCATATCCCTACATGTTCTGGGATACACAACCCTTAATGGGCATTGTTATTCTGAGTGCAAGTCTACGCATTGTTGCTATGATTCAAACCTGTTATGATGTGACAAGTCATGCTTCTAAGTCCTCAAACATTGGACCCCAAACTGCAAAGCCCTAGAAGACCGAAACCCTCAAACCCAAGAGCCCTGAACCCCAAACTCCTACACCCCTAAAAACACCAAAACACCCAAACCGTAGCAAACCTAAACCCCAAACGCTTAAACGTTAGTACCCCAAACCTTGAATTCCTGAACACTAGAAAGCATACAACCAATAAAACCTAAACCGTAGGAATTACAAAGCGCCAACAACAGAACCATCAAGCCCAAGAACCTAAAAAACTAGACCCCGGTTATCCCGAAAACAATCAGTTCCACGTTAGCACGGGACGCGTATCTGGTCTTGTTCTAGGTGCCGCGGTCGTGGCGCGTTGTAGTTGTTGTGGCGTATGTGCGGGGTGTAGGTGGTGTGGTGTATGTGGGTGGTGTATGCGCCGCGGTGCACTGGCGCGGTGAAGTTGCTGTAGTGCATGCGCGCGGGGCTGGTGCTGTGGTGCCGCCGGCCGCCCAAAACCACGATCGTCGACTACGAACAGAATTCTCAGGACGCTCCACGCACCAGCGCTGCCCCCGCCGAAAACCACGAGAGGGTCGTCGATTAATTCGCAAGAGGCCCCACGCGCCAGCGCCGCCGCCCGCCGAAAACAACGAGAGCGTCCGCCCGCCGAAAAAAAGCACCGCCGCCAGCCGAAAACCACGAGAGGGTCGTCGATTACTAGCAGAATTCTGAGGACGCTCCTCACGCCAGCGCCGCCGCCCGCCCAAAACCACGAGAGGGTCAAGGATTGCGAGCAAAATTTGGAGGACGCTCCACGCGGTGCGACGTTGAGACTACGCATAGCGCCACAACGGGAGCGAAGCAACACGCACGAAACCCGCAGAGGGTTCGCCGGCGACGTTGAAAACTCGCACGGCATCTCAACGAGAGCGATTCGACACGCACGATCCCCGCAAACGACCTTGAAAATTCGCACGGCACCGCAACGAGAGCGATTCGACACGCACGATCCCCGCAGAGGGTTGGCAAACGAGCTTTAAAGTTCGCACGGCGCCACAACGGGGGCGCTCCCACACGCACGAAACCCGCAGAGCCGGCTTTAGAAATAAGAGAAAATAGAAGGCGTGAGTGAGGGGTGGAGGATGTCTGCGAGCGGTGTAGGCGCCGTGTAGACTGTGGCGTGGTGTATGTGAGCGGTGTAGGTGCCGTGGCGTAGGTATAGACTGTAGCGGGTGTATGTCAGCGGTGTACATATTGCGTGGCGCGTGCAAGCGGTGTAAGTGCTGCGTAGACTGTGGCGTGGTGTATGTGAGCGGTGTAGGTGCTCTGGTGTGTGCAAGGCTATCATTTTTTGACGAGGAACCCTACGAGGAACCCTTCGCGATGCTTTCGGGAAAA